GCAGAGCCAGAAGGTCTCCCCTGAGCCTCCTTTGCTCCAGGCTCAGCACCCCCAGCTCCCTCAGCTGCTCCTCCCCACACTTGGGCTCTAGACCCTTCCCCTATTTTGCAAAGCCACTGGCGATAACAACCAGATTTTTCCTGCATTCCACTCTTACACAGCTCTTTCCCAGAAGACAATAAATCTGCAAACAAAGGAGCTGCAGGGCAGTAGCAGGTTCAGTTTTCATTCATCCATCCATCAGGATTCAGAACACAGAGACCCTCCCCTGGCAGCCTCCTGCTCCTCCTGGCAAGCCCTGGCCCTGCAGGGCTGCAGGACGCCCCCGGCTGCCGGCGGGAGCTTGAGCTGAGGCAGCACCAGCTTTATCACACTGGCTGTCATTTGCCCAGTCTCAGTTTCAGACAGAAGCAACAGAATTTATATCCAAAACAGCTCAGCTGACAGCAAATGTCCCTCATCTGAAGGATAAAAAAGCTTCTTCCCTTCCTATGATTCATGGGCTCTGTCCAACCTACACACACAGAGGAGCTCCCTCCAGCAAGTCTGGCTCTTCTGAGCCATCTCTTCCCTGCCTCTGGAGCTCTTGGTACCATCTGTACTTCTCAGTGGTCTCTCAGATACTTTCTGAACCAGTTGAGATGTAGAACAGGAATTCTCTGTAACCCAGTGAGCTCTGCACAGGACAAAGCCACCAGCACCCCTGAGCGTGCTGGAGCTACAGGCAGGGATGGTGGCCTCTGAGTTGTGAGGGGACCTGTCACACAGTGAGGAGCTCTAGTGACAGAGAACATGCCCAGCTGCTCCCAAGGGTGTCTCACCACATGGTTTCACCCTGGGGAGCCCCACTCCCCAGGGCTGCAGGCAGGCAGCTGTGAACCCTCCACGCTGGGCAGCTGCCACCTGGCAGCTCTCCACCACAGATTCCTGCCATCCAATTGTTCTGTTGAGCTTATCACAAAGGGATGTCTAAGGCCATGAGAAAAACAGGTATCCTCACAGCAGGCTGCAAGAAAAGCATTAAATACTCAGGAAACAAACACTGTTTGTACCCACCACCCCTGTCCACCTCCCAGGAGGGGCTCCAAGAGAGGGGAACTCCTCTCATTTGTCCCCGGGTCCAGCAGATCAGCATGAGCTCACCACAGGGTGACAGCAGAAGAGAATTCCCAAGAACTTTTGGTTTGTTTTCAAACACAAGACATGCTGCCTGCAGAAACCCAAGAGGAAACACACACTTGACCAGCGTGGCCATGAGGCCAAGGATGTGAGGAGGACACAGGATCATAGAGCAGAGGTGACACTACGACAGCCTCCAGAGGAGCACCTGGTAAAAAAGTGTTCCATGAACTAAGCCTAGATCTGTCCTGCTCACTTGACACCCCCAGAATTACCAGTGCTGGTGTTTTATTCTGGCTCCTGCATTTCACAAAAGGACTAAGATCACTGGTCAAAACCTGTTTGTGGAAGAATATCCTTGTCCAATTCCATTTTGAGGGAAAACAATGCTCGTTGGAGCCTTTTTTAGTCAGACACTTCACGCCTACTACTCACTGGGGTTTTTTTTTGTAACTGCTGCTTAGTCTCTAAACCAGAGCTTCATTCTTGACTCTCTAAAGCACAGTAGAGTGCAGTAAATTTTAGAAGAAAATACAGGATTGTTGCCACCCAGAAAATGACAGCAGGTCCTGTGGGAGGAAGAGAAAGGGACAGTGAGGGGTTATTGGTGACACACCCGGCTACTCTCACCCCTTGAGGCACCTGGAACACTTTGAGCACAAGAAGAGAGGATATCCAGCAGCTACAAGCTCGTGTGGCCTTCAACAGCAGCTTCCTGAACAAAGCAGGGAGACACAGGGCACCCACTGCAGCCTGCAGGCAGTTAACAGTGCAGTTAACTGCTCAGGTTCACTAGTCCCACTGCTCCTGCTCCCCTCAGGCTCTGCCCTGGGGGACACCAGACTCGGAGCACTCCAAGGCCAGCCCTGCTCCTGGAGAGCTCTGCAGTGGCCAGCGGGCTGGGGCAGCTCTCCAGCACCTCCATCTGTCCCCTGGGCAGAGAGCTCTGGCTGCAGG